TGAGTGCGAGGAGGGTGTGTGTGGTGAGAAGGGGGGGGCGCTTGCATGGGGGCATGTGAGGATGGCCAGGACCCGGGGATCAGGACGGTCGCGGGTGGGCCTGCACGGGGCGGTCGGCGCGGGAGGGGCACAGGGCGCAAGAGGCCCCGCTTCGGGGAGCGGGGCCTGTCGCTGGGAACACCGGCAACCCCCACCCCCCCGCAGAACAACACGCAAGCAACCCACATCCGGCCGGCCGGCGAGGTCGCCGCAGTAGATGACGCACGGCTCCGTGAAGGTCTGGCCGCCGTCGGTCTGGCACGTGCGAAAGGGAGGGGGTGTGGAGGAAGGCCGGAGCGCCGGGCGGGCCGGGCACTCGGCATGGCACCAGCGGGGGTGCCCTCACCCAAACGCATCCCACGCAGCAGCGCCGGGCTTGAGGATGCTCCGGGTCTACAAGAGTGGCCCCACCATGATGCCAGCACCCCAGCTTGAGCCTAGCACCAGCACTGCATCGTTCCTTCCCACCACCACCCCCAACCCCAAACACTCACTGTGTGTCGGTAGCCACGCAGCTTGAACTTGCCCCGCTTGGTCGGGAGCAGGGTCTCTGCCACAAATGTGGTCCACACCTGGGTCTGGGGCCCCACCTCCTCGTCCTGGAGCACCGGGATGTGCAGGCCACTGCCATTGCCAAACTTGCTGGTGGTGGGCACCTCCTGGCGTGGCCGTGGGGGGGCCCGTCCACGCGGGTACGCCGCCCGGAAATGGCGTCTAGAGTACTTGTTGGGGTTCACTAGTGTGTGGTCGCTGCGCCCAGAGGTCCCCACGGTGGCGCTGCAGCGCACGCAGGCCTCGACCGCGGGCATCGTGTGCAGGCACGTGTACAAAGCTCCCGCTGGCCACACAGCACTGTGTCGGGATTGACACAGCAGTACAAGGATGGAGCTTGTGAAAATGGGGCGGAAGTGAATCCCCCAATTGGATCAAACTCTGGCTATGTGGTCGTAAGCTGGTCACGGGTGTGCTGGCTCGCGCTCGCGCACTCGCACCCACGGATGACGTCAACAACAACCAAGGGATTCCACGGCTCATGCACAGAAAGCACTGTTAGGGTCGACTCTCACAGTTTCTCAAACCGCATGACCCCCAGCTCCACTTCCAACTCCCTATGCGCATCGATGAAGCCCCTCCGGCGGGGCCTGGAGTGTCCGCCGAGGACACCGGTCCTTAACGACATGAGGAGCGGATACGTGGCTCTTGGACCAAGGCACCTCTGGTCCTGGCTACGTGCATTTATATAGATGTATATATGTACATGTACATGCCCCCCCTGTTCACACATGCACCCCGTGTTTCGTTGTATTACCCTGCCATCGATGTTCTAGAAACCCGGGCATTGACAGTCCAGTTGGATGCCATGGACCGGTGCTGATGGAGCCCTTCAGGTCCGACAGCCTTGGGACGCCACCTTGGCCAACCCTTTGCCCTGCTGCAGGGAGCAGGGAGACTACAGGAAGGTCTGGACTCACATGTACTGGTGATGTTTCCACACACCCTCTGTACATGCTAGCCTGGGAGCTCCTGTTCCCGTTGGTTGAATCTCTTACCTAACAGGAAAGCGGCCGTGCATGGGTAACGTTGCAGTGCACGAGTGGGGACAACCAGGTCCACACCCCTTCAAGATGTGGAATGTCAATGTACAGGAGCGTCAAACACTTCCTGAGCAGAACATCCCGCTCAAGAAGCACTTAGAATTCCAAGCAGACCTGGTTTGAAGTCTGCGACACCATCCCCTTGGAATCGGTCACCTGGCAAGTAAAACAAACCGTCGTATGCGGGTCATACGTGTGTTCAGGGACGATGGAGATGATATGAGAGTGTGGAGTGTGCCACATGGAGGGCTCTCCGCCATTTGCATAGATAGATACAAGGTAAGGATAGTAGGTATCTGTGTTTGCAGTGAAATTAACTCTGTTATTCTCGTAGTTGTAGGCGGTCAGGGTCGGGGCGGGCAATGGTGTTGATGAGGGAGGTGGGGTGCTTGGGTGGGGTGTGGAGGAGGAGTAGGTGCCCGCGTCCTGTGGGGGTGGAGCGATAGGCTTGCGGGCGCCGCTCTTCATAAATAATGCTTTCGAGCCTTGTCCCATGAGGCACGAGTCTTCCGCATCACAAGCCTGCTTGGGCCTCACCTTTGCGAGCACACCAAGGCTCAGTACGAGGAGCAGCACGCAGGGTAGACCTGTTCGCGCAAGCGACGCCATCTTGCCGCTCGAGAAACGGGCGGGGTACCTACATTCACCAGAAATCTGCGCCGGTATCTCCTGAGAGCTTGAAGATTTCAGAGATTATGGAGCAGTGATGCATACATCCAGGTCGCTTGTATATATCTGATTATCCTGCTACTTGTGTCCGGACAGAAGGACAAGGGGAAGGTGGGCAGCCGGAGAACCTGGAGACGACACGTCCCAGTCTCAGCTACCGAGCCACGAACACGGCGACAGGAGGGCTCACGCCGAGATTGAAATCAGCTAGAAGGGCCCCTCCGACGTGCGATCCTTGCAGATGGTTCATGGGGATCCTGCCCGTCGCTCATTGTCCTAGAGCCATGGGTGCAGGAGTGCCTGCTCTCACACTATCCATGTAGCTACGTTACCCGGATCTCCCCTCATGTGCAGGTGCTAGTCCCTCTTCGTTTTGCTGCATGAGGGACCATGATCCAGCAAGGACACACTACTGAGCCTTGACTCAGATGTTACAGAACATTGTGTGTCATGCACAGCACTCGTTCTTGGGTGGGATCCCCTAGCAGCCCATCACATTGCTCCTGTGTAATCCAGCAGGGCAGCATGCGCCACAGCGATTCTGCTGGCTTCGCTTTGAGGGCTCGTGGAAGGCACCAAGCTTCCCATGCACTGAGGGAGGGCAGATCTGAGGCTTTCTGGCCTGAGGTACCCTTCTGATGGCTCGATGCATCCATATGCACGCTGTGCGCCTTGGTGACACCTTACCCTTGCCATGCCAATGGGCCTGGTCAATGCGTGGTCAGTGAGAGGACCATGGACCGGCTCTGAGGGAGCAAGCAAGGGCAGAGGGCCTCGCACGCCATCCCAGCATACCCACGCTTCTTTCACATGGGTGCCCACTCCCCTGGCATTTATACCCTACTATCGAGCATGGACATCATGGGGGCCAGAGGTACGGTGGCCCAGCCTGCAGCACGTTTACCCTCACTAGAAAGGGAGCACACCGTGCGGGTCAAGGACGTATCAAGAATGGGGGACGCGGAGTGGGAGCCGGCGGCGGGGGCTGCGGGGGCCCCCTCGGGCCGACGCGGCTCAGCCGATGATGATGACGGTGCCGGAGCTCTGGGCGTTGAGCAGGGTGAGGATGATGGAGATGTAGGCGTTGATGAGCTGCGCGACAGAGGACCCGCATCCAAAGGCAGAGGCCACGGCGGTGGAGTAGGCCGAGGCGACCGACACGGCCAGCTCGGTCTGGCCGCTGGCGTAGAGGGAGTAGATGCCCAGCACGGTGGCGGAGGCCACGGAGGTGGTCTGCTGTGCGGTTCCGCTCTGCGCCAGGTAGACCGTGGCGGAGGCAAAGGCGGTGGCAGTGGCGGTGGCCTGGCCCCCAGTTGCGCCGTTGGAGAAGCCCTGGGCCAGGTTGACCACGTTGCCGGGCTGCTGCACCACCTGCACCACGGCTGTGGCGGAGGCCTGCACATTGGTGGTCTGGAACACCTGGGTCAACTGGTTGACCACAATCGTGTTCTGCACATTTTGCTGGATGATGTTGTTGATCACCGGGTTGCTGTTGCTGGATGGCACTGTGGGTTGGGGTGGGGTGAAAGGGAGGGGTGTGAGTGGATGTATGAAAGGATGGGCAGGGAGGAAGATGTCTGGCGCATGGGTCCAAAGCAGGGCACTGCGGTTAGCTGTCGTGTGACCAACCCAGGCCACATGCCAGGGGTTGGCAAAGGAACGGTCTGGAAAGCACGAGATCCGCGCCATCCCATGGAGTACAGTCTTTGAAACCTGACCGAGGCCAGGCCGGCACTGGTGATCCAGAACCCTCACACCGACTGCATGCTGCCGCACAAGCTCCACTGCCAAAGGCAAGACTTACGGGGTGCGGGGGGTGCTGGCGGGGTGGGGGCGATGGGGCTGGTGGGGGAGGGGACGGGCACGGGATCAGCGGGGCTGAAGCCAGGAATTTCGCCGCCGGGGGCGATGCCACCCTCGCCCTCAGGCTCGGTGGCGGGGAGAGCCTCAACGGTGGGCTCGGAGGCGGGGGCGGCCTCGGTTGTGGGCTCGGAGGTAGGGGCAGCCTCGGTTGTGGGCTCAGAGGCGGGGGCGGCCTCGGTTGTGGGCTCAGAGGTGGGGGCAGCCTCGGTTGTGGACTCCGAGGTAGGGGCAGCCTCGGTTGTGGGCTCCGAGGTAGGGGCAGCCTCGGACACGGGGGATGAGGTCTCGCCTGCAGGGGTGGCGGCCTCGGTGGTGGGGGAGGAGGTCTCACCGGTGGGGGCGGCGGCCTCGGTAGTGGGGGAGGAGGTCTCGCCAGTGGGGGCGGCACCCCCTGCGACTGGCGAAGACGTCTCGGCGGTGGGAGAGGAGGTGGCAGCGCCAGGGGAGGAGGTCTCGGGGGAGGGGGTGGGGGTGGATGCCTCGGGGGAGGGCGTGGGGGCGGGGGAGCTGCTTGTCCCGGGGGAAGAGGAAGCGTCCGGTGAGGGAGAGGGGCTGTCAGACGGGCTCTCCGTCACGGTTTCGGGGGACGGCGCCGGCACCGGCGAGTCCTGCAGCAGGTACCTGTCCGGGTGGCCTGCAGTGCATGATCGAACGCGTCAGCGGTATGCGTATTGACCTGATCACGCCGGTATCAGCCGCCCCGCCCATGAGCACCTCGTACCTTGAACGGCGGCAAAAGCCATCACTGCCAGCAGCAGAATTGCGGTGTTGAAGCGCGCCATGGTGATATAATGTGTGATTCGTGTCTTTACTTTGGGTTTGAAGAGATAGGCGATCGAGTTCACGTCTTAAAGGGTATCACAACGCGCAAACCTTTAATGATGACCGGGGTCGACTGCTACGCGGCAAAAGGCCTGCCAGTGATCAGAAGTCTTGGATGGTACGATTGAGGCTCTCCCCCTGATCGCTCTCCCTCTGTGACGGTAAAAGTGCTTGAAAGAGACATGCATACTCTGCAATCGCAGCCCCGACGCCCTGAAGGATACTTTGCGTGATCGGCAGCGTGGGCGGCGCATCGATTTTCGGCAGCAGCCAGCTTCCCGGCCCCTAGACAGTCTGAATTTGGCTCGTGCTGGCAAACCCTGGATGCAGCATCCTGGATTCGACCGACGGACGACTATGCCGGCGCCCACCGAGTAATGAGCTAGAAGTGATCGGGTTGTCCATCTGTGCTTGTGCACGGGGCCTGCCATGTCGCCCACGATGGAAGGGTAGCGTGCGGGGTCGGGGTTGCTCTGCCCCCGGGCCAAGCCACCTGCACGGGAGTGCAGCCCGCACTCGAGGGTGACTTCCAAGGTTTGTTCGATGGTATGGAGCCAGCTTCCCCACCTCCGATCGTGTACGGACGGGCAGCTGTCCCATGCGCCATTTTCCCCTGCATGCGTACGACTCGTCCGACCAGGAACGCCATGAAGTTGCGCTCCGAGTGCTTCCAACCATCTCACATTCAAGTGTGACGTGCTTGGTGTACTCCCTAATGAACTTGTTGTTTACCAACTCTACTCAAAAAGGGGATGTGGCTGTGAGTTTATTCTCCACGTGTCTGGAATTTTGCTGTGATTGCCCGCCAATTGCGATGAATAAACTATGGCAGACGTCTTAGTACTATGCATACTCTGCAAGTACCCCGACCATATCGCTTGCACGCTCTTCCGTGGTGAAGTGTCGCTCATCTACAAGTAGGTGCACGTTCAGGCATGTTCCTGAGGGTTGACCACGAATGCCCCCGCAGCAGCAGGGGGAAGTGAATGAAGAATGGAGAGCTGGGAGGGGGGAGCGAAACTTCATAACACACGCGCGATACAAAGGGCCATAGTACCGAATCAGGCGATGACAAAGGCCGTGCTCTTGGTGGAGATGGAGATGATGATGCTGAACAGGTTGAGGATGAACTGCTTGACGATGACAGTGCAGCTGCCGGAGGAGATGATGAAGATGACCAGCTCACTGCAGGCCTGGGTGGCCACAGTGACGCTGACGTTGACGGAGACCAGCACGATGCCAATGACGGAGGAGGAGCAGATGTTCAGCGCGTCCTTGGTCTTACCCTCCTTCACGGCCTCGATCACGGCCGTGCCCCACCCGTGGCACAGGGTGGTCACGCTCTTGCCGGACTTGATGCCCGCGGCAAAGGCCACGCCGCAGGACTTGACGGAGCCGGACTTACCAGCGACGAGAGCCGCCACGTCGGCAGGGGTGCTGGCCTCGGACACGCTGCCAACAAAGGCCTTGTCCACCTCGCCATCGGTGTCGTCGCCTCCCAGGTTGGAGGCGATGCCCAGGTTGGCCTCCGCATCGGCGATGGCGGAGACGTCGCCCTCGGCCGCGGGGGCTGCACCGCCAGTCTGGGTGGTGGCGGGGGAGGCGCCGGTCTCAACCGCGGGGCCGACGGCCAGGCGGCTGGAGACTGGGGAGGCGCCGGATCCGGACACGGGCGAGGCATCGGCGGCGGCGGGCGAGGCGTCGGCGGCGGCGGGCGAGGCGTCGGAGCCGGTGGTGAAGGCCACGGGGCTGCTGGGCGAGCTGACCAGGGACTGGCCGTCGGAGTTCAGGGTGACGTAGAAGGTGTAGGTGGTGCCGGACTCCAGACCGTCAGAGGTGGACAGGGTGATTGGGCTGGAGCTTCCTGTTCAAGCAGGGTGTGGCAGGGAGGGGGTGAGTGAAGAAAATTGCTGATGCTACAGGTTTGCGGTCCAATGGGGGAGAACAACTCTGAATCGTGGACCCAGAGGTGCCCAACTCAGAAACAGCTTACAGCCGAGCCAGTAACAACCCTGTCACAAATCTGCCTCATCAGTACACCACTCTCACTATGCCAAAACCAACTGTTGACTCACCCGACTTAGAGGGGTTGCTGGCACTGCCCTGGCTGCTGCCCGCGGGCACTGCCTCGGCCACAAAGCTGCTGCCGGAGCTGGAGAAGGACACGGTGACGGTGCCATCACCGTTGTCAGAAGCGGACACACCGGTGGGAGCGGAGGCGGGGCTAGGGGAAGGGCTGGAAGGGGGGCTGGGCACGGAAGCAGGGGACGACGCCTCCGGGGGGGAAGATGGGTTGTTCCCAGGGAAGTCGAAACCCGAGCCGTCGGTGCCCGAGGGCGAGTCCGACCCGAAGTTAAACTGCGTCAGCTTCCGCAGGGCCCCCATGTCCACGCGTCCTGGATGGGATAAAGCAATGCAGGATGTTGAGCATTGAACCACGCCCCTCGATTGGCCCCATGGAGGTGCATTTCGCGCAGGATGGGTCTTGCATGAAGCATGGCGGTTCGCGGGGTGTTGATGCCGGTCAGAACCACGAACCACCTCCGCGACCTCCATGTGAGCATGTACTCACCCAAACCAAACTCCTGCAGGTCCACGATGTCTCTGGCAGCCTGGGTAGGGCTCAGCGCGAGTAGCGCCACACATACAACAAACAGGGCGGACATCTTCCCAGCCATGGTCGTATAAGACACTCTCACAAAGAGTGGAAGATGCCGGATAAGAAAGTGATTGTTTTGCTGAGGAAGTTTGTATCGGTAATGGTAAGTTGTCTGTAGGTAACCTTTCCCGGGAATTCGGCATTATATGCGCTTTCTTGGCGGCTCCCATGAGCTCACGTGCCCGCGCAGCTCGCTGAGTGCCACGCGGAAATGTGGAGGTTTTCCACGGGGTGTACGGATGCCCTTTTTGAATGAATTGGGACACCTCGTGTCATATTTCAAATGCCCGAAGAAGCGCGTTGCTTGATCAATCACAAATGGGCCTGGCACAATGTGGCATAGCGATGTTTATATTCAGAGGATCATTGCATGAACCCGGCGCACACATCTTTGGCGATCAGGTGTTGATCGCCAGTGTTATGGCAAGTCACTGAATGGGTGCAGGTCATGAACAGCCCCTCAGTCAGGATTCACGCAGCCCCGCGCGACAGACAGAATCATCCACCACGCGGCAACGAATTCTTGTCTTGGGCTCAGCTGAAACTTGTTTTGAAGCCGTAGTGCATGTGGACACCGCCCAGACGCAAGCATTCTGGAATCCATAGGCGCCTGCGCACCAGGCCGAGAAGCGGATGCCAGTTCAGTAGCACCATCGAATTCAACACGCTTTGTTGCTGCCCGCTGTCATTTTCAGGTTAGTTATGAGTCGACGCCTGGCCGCCAGCCGTGTTATCACAGGCAATCGTTGATTGTGCTTCTCTTGGGTGCCCCCTCGGAACGGACCCACACTTCTCCCTCACCGCATTTCTGAAGGGTTGCGAAGTATGGATCTCTGCCCAAGGGTCACAAAGTATCCTCTTCATTTGGGGCCGTCTGATTCTGAGCATGTCACAACCCCGCACGTTTGCTCTTGCATCCGGCGGAGTTAATACTCCACATGACAATCCAGTTTTGATTTCTCTGTGGCGGTGGCCTACCAGGATGTCTACCTTGATCAAATTCTCATACTCCACCTTTTCCTTCATTGGAGATCATGGACAGTGACTGCCAAGGTGTGGTCCCCACAATACAACCGAATCTTATCACACATGGAATTGAGCTGCACATACAACCAAACACATGGAATTGAGGAGCATACAGATGTAGACATGCTGAGATAAAATCAAGGTGGTGGTCGGGAATATTCGGAGCAATCCCGTGCATGGCAGGGGCCCCAGCAAAGGCATGCAGTCTGCAGCTCCACATCCGCGTTCCTCTGTGACCGCGCATCATCGCTGCATGTTGGGGCTGGAATGTTGTGCGATCTTAGCGGCTTTGAGAGCCTGAGCTCAGGATGCCCTGTGCACCCACAGGGCCCGGACATGCTGTCAGGTCTCTGATCCTTCTTCTACAGCGTCCCTTGCTTTGGACTTGCCGCCGTCCACAGATCCTCCCTCTCGATCAGCAGCACCCTGCTAGACCTTGCCAGCAGCTTTCTGTGCATCAGCAGCCAGCTCCGCCACCCCCGTCGCATCCTTTGCAGCCTTTTGGCTGACGCCTGCAGCGTCCTCCGCTGCCTCACCAGCACTCTTCCCGGCCTCCTGCGCGGTTGTCGTCGCCTCCGCAGCTGTCTCTGTGGCCGCACTCGCGGCCTCGGTCGCTGCAGCAGCAGCAGCCTCGGCCTCTACAGTGGAGGTAGATTGCTCGGCACCGACAGCAGTGTCACCTGCCTCACCCCCAGCCTGCTCCGTGCCAGCCCCGCTCTCTCCTGCCGCAGCAGAGGTGGTCGTTGCCTCAGCAGAGGTGGTCGTCGCCTCAGCATCGGTGGGGTCTGTTTCGGCAGGGGTGGTCTCGGCCTCAGCATCAGTGGGGTCTGTTTCGGCAGGGGTGGTCTCGGCCTCAGCAGCCGTGCTCTCATCCTCGGTAGCGGTACCCTCAACAGTAGCATCCGACGCTTCAGCCTCAGCGGCGATAGTCTCCGCCATAGCAGCAGATGTGTCAGCCTCAGCGGCGGTAGTCTCCGCCGTAGCAGCAGATGTGTCAGCCTCAGCGGTGGTAGTCTCCGATTGGGCGGTCGCTGCCTCTCCCTCAGTTGCTTCTTCAGTGGTAGCTTGCTCTTCCACCGCTTCAGCCTCGGCCTCTCGCACAGCAGCGGCTGCTTCCTCGTTGGTCTTCGCAGCCTCTTTCTTCAACTCTTTGAGGTTAGCGTCAACACTTGCTTGAGTTGTGGCGTCCTCGACTGCAGTGGATTCCTCCTTTGACTCGAGAGTGGTCTCAGATGTGGCTTCAGCCTTTTCCTTCCCGAGCTCACCTTCCTCACTCTCTGTACCAGCATCTTCAACCAATGTGGGCTCGCTCTCCGTGTCTTGGCTGGCAGATTTGGCATCTTCTGATGCCGCCGCAGCATTGGCTGGAGTATTGCTGGCTTCCAGAGCCTTGGGTGTATCTGTCAATGGGTGAGTGAAAAGGTGATGTAAAACATTACCAGCTGAACTTTGGACAGGAGATCACTGTTTGACACCCAATAAATCTTACGGTGAGGCTCTTTCGGAGACAGATCTATTGTCAGTCATCCTGTGCACTTGAGTACATAGATCCACATGTAAACCATGAGAGGCTCTGCAGGGAGTCCAGCCCCCCAGCAACCAGGCGCCCACATCTACCTTCCAGGCCAATGTATTCGGGTCGGTTGTACAAGACAGCGGCTGCCAGGAATATAGTGGCAATCACTGCCGTGCAAAAGAGGGCCTTGCAGTAGCGAGGCCGGGATGGGGCAGAGTACACACCTGGCAGTGACTGCAGGAATGTGGGAGGGGACCTAGGCTGTCAACGGGATGTCTTGGGAAAGCGCCTGGACGCGCCGAGATCAGCTCGCTTACATGCTCCACACAGCTTGCCGTCGCACCTTCACATTCTTCAGGAGGAATTCGCGCTCCGCCTGGTTCTTGTTGGAATGCAGACCCTCCTGTAGGGGGAAAACACAGGAGCTTACCAGGCCGGCACGCCAGCTGTCTAGGCAGGCAAAGGGTCACGATTTCCCCATGAATCACCTCCACGAGCTTGCTGAGCTGGTCAGCCATGGTCGATGGCCAGGAGCGGTGTGGGTGTGCGATAGCTCAGGGCAGATCTCGAAGTCCGGCGTCGAGACTTCCTTGGTAATGGCCCTTCCTGAAAAAGAAAATCGAGGTGTAGCGGTAGATCTGAGCCTACGGGGCGAAGATATGTAGGCCTTGCGGACAGGTGTTGCGATTCGAAGGTTCTCCAATTTTTGGCCATGGCCCCCCACGGGAGACCGTAGCATAGCAGGCGGAGCACGGCCACAGTACAAATGCAGGCTCTCCCCCCTCCCGCCCACTTTGAAGTTGTCCTCCTCCGAGCGGCAGTGATATGTGCTTGGGAGCAGCGTCTTGGTCTCGTGATCGACATTCAGAAGTACATGGGATGTGAGGAGGGTCCATGTTCATTCTCCGCTCGCATCTTCAGACGCCAATGACATGTACCATATCTCAAGCCGCAAGGTGACGCTAATCTACCAGGAAGTTCATGTGCTGAGCAATGTGATGCTCCAATCAACTTGTTCCCCAAGGAGTCGATGACTTCCCCTGGAGCTGTCCACATACGGCTACTGCCTCATGCAGCCACGCTGTGAAGTAAACTCACAGCCGCACGGAGTCAGCAGTACTCGCGGTAAACCTAACACTGTAATCTCATCCGAGCTGTGATTCATAATTCAAGGAACGACATGCTGGAGGTGCACTCAAATCCACTATCACCCAGAACAGACCCACAATGCAGGGACCCTCGAGAGCCCTGCCTGGGGAAGTACCCCATACGTGGCGCGCGACTTTCAAATCGAGTGGGTGCAGGTCCCCGGACGCGCGCGTTACCCCACTCTTACAACTGCGTCTGCATCGCATTCGATATACCACCCTTTCTGAGAAGTGTGCAACGGCGAGGCAGGCGGCAGTGCGGCTGCCACGCTCATTTGCTTGCGGTGCAGCGTCGGGAAACCACGGGATGGGGGAGCCTGCCAAAGCCACGTTCCAGATCGTGGTCGCTGCCACCCGCCAACTCGGCATCGGCAAAGGTACGAAGGCTGAGCGGCCGACCGCATCGTCGGGCTGAAGTGGACCAGGAGGCTGCGTGTCGGACCGCTGGCCCCCTGAACTCCGTGACGCACACCCCTCCCCGACAGGAGGCACCCTGCCCTGGAAACTCCCTGGCGACATGGCTTACTTTAAGGAGCTCACCTGCCGCACAGCGGACCCCGCCAAGCGGAACGCGGTGATCATGGGGCGGAAGACGTGGGAGAGCATCCCCGCCAAGTTCCGTCCTCTGCCGGGGCGCCTCAACGTGATCCTCACCCGCTCCGCCTCGGGGGAGAATACCAGCATCCTGGGGAATGGTGAGCATGCAGGACTGCATTGCACTGGGCTGTGGGCCGGTGCCTTGCGGTGGGGGTGCTGCGTGGTCCTCCCCTCCACTGCACTCGCCGTGGACGTGCAGGCCTCCCGTCCAGGCCCCTCCTCCCACCCTCCTCCACTCCCCCAGGCGGCCAGCCCGGCGCCCCCGCCCCCCCTGTCGGCGAGGCGCTGCAGCAGCCCAGCCTGTCCGCGGCGCTGTCCCTGCTCGCCTCACCCGCCTACGCGCCGCGCCTGGAGTCGGTCTTCGTCGTCGGCGGCGGCGAGGTGTACGCCGAGGCCCTGCGCTCGCCCGCGCTGGACGCGGTGCACCTGACGCGCGTGGAGGTCGACACGCCCTGCGACACCCACCTCCCCCCGCTCCCCGCCGACGAGTGGCGGCTGTGGTCCGCGGGCGCGCCGCGCCGCGACGCCGGCACGCGCTACGCCTTCCTCTGCTACACGCGGCGCGGCGCGGCGGCGCCCCCGCGCCTGCCCCCCGCGCTGGCCGCGCCCCACGAGGAGCAGCAGTACCTGGGGCTGGTGCGACGCGTGCTGGCGCACGGCGCGCGCCGCGGCGACCGCACCGGCACGGGAACCCTGGCTCTGTTCGGGGAGGGCATGCGCTTCAACCTGCGCCACACCTTCCCCCTGCTCACCACCAAGCGCGTCTTCTGGAGGGGTGCGCGCGGCGCCGGCGCCGCGGGCTGCGCGGCGCTGTTTTCGGCTCTGTTTTGTTGTCTTCTGTTGCGGGGGAGGGTGGGCGAGGAGCGTGTGTGTCGGGCTGTTGGGGGGAAAGGTCGTCGATGCCAGCGCCGCGGTCCAACAAGCAGCTCCCCTGCCGAGGCTTGGATGAGGAGAGGATCGGGGGAATGGATTGTCAGGCTGAGCGGCCGCTCGCCTCCCCGCCCACCCCCCCCCATCATCCCCAGGCTCAGGGTCGACAGCAGCACGCTGCCACCCGGTGCACCCGCCCCTCCGGCGCGCCCGGGCCCCGCCACCTGCGACGCCACCCCTCTTCGACCCCCGCCCTGCCCCCCCCAAAAAACAGGCGTGGCTGAGGAGCTGCTCTGGTTTGTCTCCGGCGCGACCAACGCGCGCCTGCTGGCCGACCGCGGCGTGCACATCTGGGACGGCAACGGGTCGCGCGAGTTCCTGGACGCGCGCGGCCTGGGACACCGCGAGGAGGGCGACCTGGGTCCGGTGTACGGCTTCCAGTGGCGCCACTTTGGCGCGGCCTACGCCGGCATGCACGCCGACTACCGGGGTGGGTGGGTGCCGGGACTGGGGGGGGAAGGGGGCGTGGGTGGGTGACAGGGGGCACTGCGGGGGGCCCAGCTCGAATGGGGCGGGGGGGCCGCACGATGGGGGGGCGATCGGCGGGGGGTGTGCGAGGGTGGCAGCCGGCGTGCCGCCCCGCCGAGTCCAGGGCCACCGCTCCCTGCGGGCCGGCCAGGTGCAGCGCCGGGCCCGCCGGGCTCGCCCCGCTCCACCCCCGTGCGCCCAGGCTCGCGCCTCCATGCCCACCCCGGCGCCCTCAAGGACCCCCTCCCCGCCCTGCCCAGGCCAGGGCGTGGACCAGCTGGCAGACCTCGTGCAACGCATCAAGACAGACCCCACCGACCGGCGCCTGGTGCTGACGGCCTGGAACCCCGCGGCCCTGGCCGACATG